AGACATGTATGTTTTCATTTTTATACTTTCATAGTCTGTACAGTATTTTGATATTATAAATTATTGTTCTTACAGGTTGATATAAAAATCTAGCAAAAATGTGGTCTTATTATGTCAGTCTACATGAAAAATAACCACAAATTTTGATTCACATTTCATTCATTCAATTTAAACCTCATTCTGAATAGAGCCCCCCCCATATACCTCCCCGACCCCATAATGGGATCTAACTCAGGACCCTGCACTTGCCAGGAAGGTTCAGTACCACTGAGCTACATCCCTGGCCCTCCTGAATAGTCTTTTAAAATGTAAAAAAATTTTGAATATAGCTTTAGAGGGAATTGCAAAAAAAAAAAAAAATGGTACAGAGAAGTCCCTTATATCCTTTAGGCAGTTTCTCCCCAAAAATAATTATCTTGCATAACTCAGCACAGCGTGAAAACCAGGAGACTGATGTTACAACCCACAGAGATTATTCAGATTCACTAGTGTTATGTGTAATTCTAAGAAATTTTATTCCATGAACACCAGTGTGACTAATATCACAATCGAGATGCAGAACTGTAGTCGGGCATGTTGATGAACTTGTAATTCCAGATACCTAGGAGGCTGTGAATTTGTTGTCAGCCTGGTTAAAAAAAGGGGTAATCAAAAAACAGATTGTGTGTTTAAATTTTAAAAAATGTATTACAGTAAAAGATGCATTGCCGAGGTCAGGGACAAGGGGAAAAAATGAGAACCAAGACCTGTCATGTAAAGGTACAAGATCCCAATAATGAATTTAACTGTACTGTCTACGTAGAACGTACCAATAAACTCATGAGGAAAAAAAAAAGATACACTGCCACTAATCACCCTCAGAATACTCACCTTGCTTAGAACACATTTATTTCATCATTCTTAAGACAAGTGGCACTTTTTTTTTATGTTTTTGCAAATCTCTTTAATCTTTGGCCTAGTAAAACACATGATCTCATGTGCTTCCTTATTCAATCTATTGCTATATCACATGTCATGCAGCCTCTACAAAATTTTTCTAAAGCAGTTCTGGAAGTTCTCTTTTGAGAGTGTCTTTATGAGGTGTGATGAAAAATACAGTGCATGCTGCTGCCCAGTGCCATGGGCTTGTAAAAATACCAGGGTGTGTTGTCAGGTACTTTATTCATGGGATCTGGCACTGCATGATTTCGGACTCTTTCCTAAAGTCAAATGACCATACAAGGTACACAATTTGAATTGATGCAGGTCATTGAGGCAGCTATGATTAAAGATATTAGTGTAATCATATAATAGGCAACTTTCATTCCGCACAATTCCCTTCAGCTCCCAGCAAGTTGCTGTGTGTATTAACATTGTGTTCTTTTTCTGTTGCTGCCTACTATTTCATGGTATGGTGTGGATGTACTACTATTTGTATATCCATTGACCTAATAAAGGGCATTTGTAATGTTCCCAGTTTTAGGCTGCTATAAATAAATCGTCTATGAATATATAAGCTTTGTGTGAACATCGTTTTCATCTCTCTGAAGTGAAAGCCTGAGTACAACGGCTGAGTCACGAATACAGGTTTTGTTTTATAAAAATCTTCCAAATCACTTTTCAGAGTGACTGTACCATTTTACATGACTCCAAACAATGTCTAAATTATTATTTTTTGTATCCATGCCAACATTTGGTGGTTTTTAAATTTTAGTTATTTTGGTAATTATAGTTTTAGCTTGCATTTTCTTAATGGCTGAGGCTGTTGAGCACTTTTCATGGGCTTATTTTCCATCTATCAATCCTCTCCACCACAATGCACATTTTGTAATTAAAATTTTTTTGTGTTGTGTTTTGGGAGGTCTCTTTATAGTCCATATGCTAATCCTTTGTGGAATCTGCGGCTTATAAATATTTTCCCATGTTTTTATCTTGCATTTTTATACTTTTAACAGAGAATTAACCCATCCATAATTTGTCAAATTTCCCTTATAGACAATGCTTTTGGCATTATGTCTAAAAACTTCACCTTGCCCTAGGTCCCAATATATTTTCCTATTTTTCTTTCTAAAAATTTTTTTAATAGTTTTACAATATCTTCATATATTTTTGTGTACTAGGGATTGAATCCAGGGTCTTATTCATGCTAGACTAGTGGTGTACCATGGAGCTACGTCCCCAGTACTTTTTAAATTTTATTTTGAGACTGGGTCTTGCTAATTTGACATGTTGGCCTTGAACTTATGTTCCTCCTGCCTCTGCCTCCCAAGTAGCTGATATTACAGATGTTTGCCACTGTGCCTGGCTGTTGTTTTACAATTCACATTGAAGTTCATGATCCATTTGGAGTTAGTTTTCATACAAGATGTGAGATTTAGGTTTTTATTTTTTTTAATTTCTTATATAATATGTGAGGTTTACATTTTTTAAAAAAATTCTTTTTCTCATGGATATATAGTTTCTCTGGCAACAGCTGTGAAAAGTTGCTTTGTATCTTTGTTAAAAATCAGCTGGGGTTGGAGGGGTCGGGATTTAGCTTATTGGTGCCGCTGCCTGCCTCCCAAGCACGAGGTCCTGAGTTCAATCACCGGTACCAGTAACAGCTGGGTGTATGTGCGTGTGTGTGTGTGTGTGTGTGTGTGTGTGTGTGTGTGTGTGTGTGTGCTCTGAGTTCTCTATTCTGTCCTGTTAGTCTATGTATCTATCTCTGTATCAATGCTGTTTTGATTACTGAATCTATATAAGTGTCCTCCACCCCAGTCCATGCGGGGGATCGAATCCAGGACTTCGTGTATGTTAGTGTGAGTTAGTGCTCGCATGTGTCAATACTGAAAGTAATGACTTCTCTCATTTTGTTTCTAAAATTGTTTTAGCTATTCTACATCCTTTGCCTTTCAATATTATTTATTATCATATAATAATACTATCTATAGAAATTGTGCTTGTATTTTGTTTAATATACAGGTTAATTTAGGGAAAATTTCTATCTTTACTTTGGTCAGTCTTTCAATAAATGGATATGATTTTTCACTATTTATGTATTTAAATCTTCTTTAATATATTTCATTAGCATGATTTTCATTATGTCCATATTTATAAGTATTTTATTTTCTTTGGGTCAGTTGCACAGAGTATTGTGTTTTTCATTTGTTTCCCCAATATTGTTTTTTTTTTTTTTTTTTTGGTACTGGGAATTGAACTCGGGTCCTTGCGCTTGCTAGGCAGTGACAGAACCACTGAGCTAAATCCCCTGCCCCCAAATATTGTTTTTAATATATAGAAGTGCAACTGGGTTTTATGTATTAACTTTATGTCATGTGATATATTGAACTCTGTAACTAGTTCCAGGAACAATTTTTTTGCAGGTTTCTTGGAATTTTGTCTTTTTGATTTTTTTTTTTCAAAAAAGGATTAGTGTGGCATCCATAAATCAGAATAGTTTTATTTTTTCCTTTCTGGTCTGTGTGCCTAAAATTTTTTTTCTTGCCCTATTGTGCTGCCTTGAATGTCCCATACCATAATGTTGAATATTGAAAGAGATGTGAATAGATACTCCTACCATGTTGCCAATCTTAGGGGAAAGCATTCAGTTTTTTTCACCAGTAGTTTAAGTGTACTGTTAGCTGTAGGTTTTTTGCTAAGTGCTCTTTATCAGGATGAGAAAACCTTTAGTTCTATTTACAGAAAGTCTTATTTTTTTTAATCACAAAAGAATATTAGATGTTGCCAAATTTTTTTTATTTTTCTTGGTCAATTGCATATATATTTTTTTCTTCTTTATTCTATTGAGATGGTAGATTGCATTTTCAAATATTGAGCCAGCCTAGAATACTGTGACTTCTTTCTAGTTGGTTATGTTTTTCTAATTCTTCTCATGCATTGCTAATTTTGATTTGCTAGTATTTTGTTTGTGATATTTGCATCTAACTTCATGAGATGTATTGACCTGTTATTTTCTTTGTTCTGTTTCTGCCTGGTTTTGATGTTGGTAATCCTGGCTTTATAAAGTGAATTGGGAAAATGGTTCTTGCTTCTATTTTCTTTTCTTTTCTTTTCTTTTCTTTTTTTTTTTTTAATACCGGGGATTGAACTCAGGACCTTGGACTTGTGAGGCAGGTGGCAGAACCACTAAGTTAAATCCCTGGCCCTGCTTCTATTTTCTAAAAGTTGCTTTAAAATTGGTATTAATTTGTCTTTAAGTGTTTTGAATTGTCTTTTAACTGGTAACTTTTTTTGTCTCTCTTATCTCTCCTGGTTTGAACATAAATAATCCATAGTACTCTAAAAATGGGGAAAAATTGCTCATTTAATCTTACATAAGATTTTTCCTGGAATATATGGGGCTAAATTCCAAATTTCCTTTCACCCCATTCTTGGGTGCAGGGAGTTGAAAGCCTGGATATGGTCAGTCCCACAGCTGACCTTGGATAGCTTGATCTCATGCCCTCACAGTGTTTAGGTAAAGCTGTATCTAGAGGTCTAAACAGAGGAGTGTAAATGAAATAGATGGAAAACTTAAATAGAAAATGTTAAGTAAAACTCTCTGCTGTCTGCCCTTGGCACATTGCTGGGTCAGCATGTACACATTAATAATGAAATTTAGATTCCACCTGCCACCAGCGAACAAAATGTAGTAGGGCTGTAGTTCTTTTTTTCTGTTCACCCTAGCAGTGTGTGAATGGGAAGGCTATATCCATATATATCCTTCAATATTGTCAAATATTAACTAATTTAAGTTCTGTGTTTTTACAAATGAGGATGGTATATTTAAAAAGATAATTCATTGTTAATATCAAGCCCAATTCTACTTGTTTATATAGGAAATGGGAAGATTCAGTTGTTTACCTCTTTCCCAAAAAGAACTTGTTTCTATTTACATGGCTTTAGAATGTGTTGGGAGCTGAAAGCAGAAGGGTCAAACTTTAATGATTATTTGTAGTAATGTTAAAATTGCTGGTTGTTGCTATGACAAGATTAGATTATTATTGCTGCTATTATTTTTTGCCATGTCTGTTTTTCAGGAGAGTCATGGATTACAACAGAAAATATGCAGCTGTCATTCTGGCCACCTTGTGTGTGTGTTTAAATGTTCTCCATTCTTTTCCTGACAAAGAGTTTACAATGCAGGGTATGTGACCAAACTCTGGTTTGAAGTATGAAGGAAAGTACTTATTGCTAGATGTACATTGATAACTCCATTAACTCCATTCCTATTTTCTTTACAAATGTGGTAATTCTTCACTGCTGGATGCACATCTAGGCACTTGTAGACTGTGAACATAAAATTAAATTAGGTTCATAAAAATGTACAGTGAAAATAGTATCTTAAAATCCATTTAAATAGCAGCCTGCATATTTTCATCTGCAATAGATTCCTTATTATTCTTTATCTGAGTTTTATAAGAAGAAAATTCTCCTTATTCAGGTAGCTCAATCCTCCTATTTCTTCCAGAAGTCTTGAGAGTTTAACATTGCCTTTCTAGATATATGTTCACATCAGTTAATGAGAAAAAATAATTTTATGCAGTAAATTTGTTTTGCTGTATTCTTTGAAAAATCTTATATAATGGCTGATATAATTCCATTGCCTTTGAAACTGTGGTTATGGTTTTTCTTTAGATAAATAGTAATTTTTTCATCCCATGTCTTAAGTGAAGATGTCTGATTCAATATCAGGCTCTCTACACTCACCAAGTTTTCTTAACTCTGATGTATTTTTCCCTGTCAATATTTGAGGTTTCTATGGGGGAAAAAATTTAATAGCAGATCTATAGAGGGAAATATTTTGCCTCTGGGCAAAATTCTTCTTTCAGGTAGATGTGGCATTTTCATCTGTCAAGTTTTGTGTTCTCTCTAAGCATATTGTTAGCACTGGGATAGAGGATCCAAGCTTGAAGGCAGAGAAACTATTAAAGCTAAGATTCCCATGCAAGTCGGCAAAAATTGTTTTCCCAGAAAGTTAACCATACATATGAAGTCATATAGTCAAAAAGATTGATTTCCTCTTTGTTTTAATGGGAAATATTTACCATTTCATAAAAAATATTCATAGCTTCTCTTTGAATCATTTGGTGGTTTTTTACTCCTTGTGTTTTTTTATCTGATAGGTTGCCCAGAATGCAAGCTAAAGGAAAATAAATACTTCTCCAAGTTGGGTGCCCCCATTTATCAGTGCATGGGCTGCTGCTTCTCCAGGGCATACCCTACTCCAGCAAGGTCCAAGAAGACAATGTTGGTTCCAAAGAATATCACCTCAGAGGCCACTTGCTGTGTGGCCAAAGCATTTACCAAGGTAAAAATGTGAAGGGAGCCAGAAGTTTTCTAACAGCTCAACAGAGAAAGGTTCAGGTAGCACATTCATGAGCTTAAGTGCCCAAAGTGTCTAATGACATATATTCTGCTGTGCATCTGTCTGGGTGGGGCTGTATTTTTGCCCTTTAATTAAATGAATCAGCTAAGGTAAACAAGCTGATTTTATAAAATCATTGAACAGAATGGTGATCAGTAGAGGCTAGAAAAAGTCAGGGGAATGAAAGACAGAGGGAGGCTGGATATTAAGACCAAATATAGCTACATAGAAAGGGTAAATTTTGGTGTTATATAGCACAGTAAGGGGACAATAGTTCATCTCAATTTATTTTATATTTTATAAAGAAATAGAAAAGATCAGTCCAAAGTTTCCCAACAGAAAGAAATGTTTGAGAAGATAGAAATGCTAGTAATCTGATTTAATTATTATACATTGCATATGTATATCCAGTTATCACATTGTACCTTATTAATATATACAATTATTGTATGTTAATAAAAATGAAGTTTCAATAAAGAGCCAAGTGCAAGGCCCTGGTTTGACCCCTAGCATCACAAAATAAATAAGTGCCTAAAGTAATTGATGAGGGTTTTTAGAGATTGGGGATGTGGCTCAGTGGCAGAGCACTTACCTAGCTTATGTAATGTTCTGGGTTTAACTCCCAGGACCATTTTGAAAAAGAAAAGAAGAAGAAAGAATGAAAAGAGTCAGTCACCTTGTAGACACAGGCTGGATTTAGTTAGAACGAAGGACAGGTTAGGAAAATGTGAATCTGAACTTTTAGAGTGAAAACAGTATTGAGAAAGGAAGACTGTGCAAACATAACAGTCATCCTTTTAGTTCAGATGACTATAATATTATTTAATGTTTCCCAATTTTATGTCTATCTCTCATTTTCTTCCTTCCCCCTTAGGCCACAGTTATGGGAAATGCCAGAGTCGAAAACCACACGGAATGCCACTGCAGCACTTGTTATTATCACAAATCTTAAACATTTTCCAAAGTGATGACCACTGATTTCATGGGATGGAAATTTGAATTGCTCAGTGTTTATAGCCTTACAAGTTAAAATTCTCCTTTTCCTCACCAGACCATTTTGATGTGCTTCAAGGATACTCTGCAGCTTTATAGCCTTTCTCCTTATCCTACAGTATAATGAGCAGTCTGGCTTTTTTCATCAGAATGAAATAGAGCATTTAGCATGATCATAAAAAACTGGTTCCAATGGAAATAAAGCCTTTAATCTATCAATCAATCCCTGAATTATCACTTGTTTTCTCAAAAGTAAAGCCAATTGCTTTTGATAGAATTTATGGTGGGAGGGCGCACATGGGTACTTAGTGAACTGACTTTGGAGAATCTTAGTTCCACCAAACCTTCTAGAAACAAGTTGTGAGTCCTTTTAGTCAGCTGGCCAGTTATGAGATAATCCACTGGGATGGAAGAAGAAAACATAAGAACTTCTATTTCTATTCATTTTTATAAAATCCTTTAAATTTCCATTTTGGTAGATTTTACAATAACAGTTACAATATTATGATAATGCATGTATGCAATTTATAAATGAATAATTATGGGGATGTTTGATCAGAAACAAGTTAATGGTAAATTTGTACAATCAATAAATGAAGGGTTGAGACATAGAGAATAGTGGTAAAGCACTTGCCTAGCTTGTGCAAGGGCCTGCATTTGATCTCTGGCACTGAGAAAATACCCTCAATGCCAAAACAAAACAAAACCCACAACCAACCAATCAACCAATGAAACAAAAACTACTGATCTGATGGATTGGGACTGACAAAATCTTTCCCAACCTGAAGTTTCTACTCGACTTATGCCTGATCAAAAATGAAGAGCATCCTGGTAGTCTCTGACAGTAGTTAGACTGTAACCAAATGGTGGCTAAGGAAAGGGTGTCATTGTCATCAAGTGAAATTAAGCATTGCTCTAAAATTCCAGAGACATTGGGTCTTCTAGTGCATGTTTGAGTCTGAATGGGAATGCATAAACAATGAGGAAGCTATCCATTGAGCACTCACTGTGGGCTAGGAGGAGTACCAAACACTTTTACTTAGTTCTGGCACATTGTCTCAAGTAGGTGCCATGCTTCAAACTCATGTTTACCAAGCATTCACATTTAGAAACAATGTAGTTCTTCCTTATAGACAACAGTTTTATACCTTTTAAATCATAGATCAAAGCTACCCAAAAGCTCTACTCCTATAGGAGTATGAAATGTTAAAACATAAGCCTGCAATTTAAAAATATCACACTGATCACAGATAAAATTTAAAAATAAATTTCAACCTTCACTGATTTATCAGGATCCCATCCAAACCAATTTCTTAGCAGCTTGGAAAACAGCAGATTTCAGAATAAAAAGTTCAAGGGGGAAGGCCAGAGATGTAGCTCAGTGGTGCCGCACCTGCCTGGCAAGCCCAAGATCCTGAGTTTGATCTCTGGTACTCAAAAAGAAAAGTTCAAGGAGGTATGCAAGGGGGTTTAAGAAACATAAAAACACACGTGAAGACATTAAATCTTTTGTTCATTCATTTACAAGTGTTTATTATACATTTATTGAATACCTAGTAAGTGTTGATATTTTGTTAGACTGTGAGAATTCAGAGATACCAGGATTCTGCAGAAGTTAAGGTTGAGAAGAGACAATGTGGTATAATGTGAGAGAAGAATGGTGCTGATCATCAGTTCATTCAAGTACTTAGCAGATATTCATTGAGAATCAACTGCATGCTGGGCCTGAGAGCTTGTTTGGAGGTCTCAAGGGAAGAAAGCAGCTTCTACATCTTTGGCTGGAGTGTCCCTGTTTGTCTGATATTGTCTTATTTGACAGAAGAAATCAATGGGTAAAATTTCATAGTCATACTGGCCTCCAAATTTTTCATGTGCCAAGCTTAAGGCTGGTCCTTAGAAGGCCAGTATGAATAAGACATAGATACTACTGTTAGCAATTCATACCACTGGGGAAGACAGACACAGTTACAATCTAGTGAGGAATACATTAAGAGAGGGGTCTGGTCTTTGGTAGCATAAAGGGAGGAATGGCCAATTCAGCCTTTTGAAGTTTTTCTTGGAGGGGTTCACAGGGGAAGGTGGTACTTGAGCCTAGTCTAGAAGATGATTAGGTAGTTGGGAATGAGTGCATTCTAGGCTGAGAGAACAGATAATGCAAACACCCTGAAGTTATAAACAGGGTGGTCATAGAACTGCAAGAAATTCAGTATGACTGGATAGCAGGAAATTGGGGAGCAGAAGGAGTAGAACTGGAGTAGAGGAGGAGTAGAACTGCAGAGAGAAATAGGGGGAAAAACTGAAGCTTTCCTTCTAAAATCAGGAACTAGACAAGGATGTCCACTATCACCACTCCTTGAAACATTAGCCAGAGCAATGAAGCAAGAGAAAGAAATAAAAGCAATACATTTAGGAAACAATGAAGTCAAGTATCATTATTTTCAAATGTCATGATCCTCTACCTATAAGACCTAAAAAATTCTGCCAAAAGACTCCTAGAATTATTAATTAAAATCAGCAGTGTAGCAGGATACAAAACAAATACACAAATGTCAATAGTATCCTATACACCAGTAATGAATTCACTGAAGAAAAAATTAGGAAAACAATATCACTTATGATAACATCAAGAAATTAAACATTTATGAATTAATCTAACCAAGGAAGTAAAAGACCTCTACAATGAAAATGATATCCATCTGACAAAGGAAGTTGAGAAGGATATAAAAAACTGGAAAGATATTCCTTGTTTGCAGAGAGGCAGAACCAATACAATCAAAATGGCTATAGTAGCCAGGTGTGGTGGTGCACTCCTATAATCCCAGCACTCGGGAGGCTGAGGGAGGAGGATCGCTGTGAGTTCAAGATCAGCCTGGGCTACATAGTGAGTTCCAGGTCAGTCTCAACTACATAGTGAGAGTGAGATCCTGTCTCAAAAACAACAACAACAACAAAACAAACAACAACAACGAAAATGGCTATAGTTCCAAAACTGAGCTATAGATTTAATACAATCTAAATAAAAATACCAATAGCCTTTCTAGCAGATCTATTGAAAATAATCCTAAAGTTCATATGGAACAAAAAAGAGACCCAGAATTGCAACAGCAATCGTTGGTAATAAAAGCAAAGAGGCTGACATCACAATTCCCAATTTGAAGTCATACTATAAAGTGATTGTGATTTAAACACCATGGTACTGGCAGAAAAATAGGCATGTGGATCAGTGGGACAGAACATCAGAAGTAGAAACAACCCCAGGCACATTCAGCTCTTTGATCTCTGACAAAGGGGCTGAAAACATACACTGGAGGAAAGGTAGCCTCTTTAAATAAATGGTGCAGGGAAAATTTGATGCAGTATCTATATGCTGAAGACTGTACTAAATTTAAATCAAGTACCTATGTGCTAAAACAGAGACCTTTAATCTACTAGAAGATTAAACAGGTAAAACTTTTGAAGACATAGGCATAGGCAAGAACTTTCTGAACAGGGATTTTCCTGAAAGAGTTAAAGATATCATATCACAGAGATACATGTGCACCTGTGTTTATAGTAGCACAATTTATAATAGCTAAATCTTGGAAATGACCTATATGTCTATCAGCAGATAAATGGATAAAGAAAATGGATATTTACACACTCTGGAGTACTACTTTGCCATTAAGAAAAAACAAATTTGAGGCATTTGTAGGTTAGTGGAGACAACTTGAGACCATAAAATTAAACAAAATAAATCAGATACAAACTTAAACATCAAAAGGTTTGCTTTATATGAAAAACTCTTTCTCTCTCTCTCACTCTCTAAATAAATAAATAGGAAGCAGGGAGATCTTTCTCAAATGGATGGGAAAACAAAAGATGGAGAGAGGGTGGAGGAAGGGGGAAAGGGAATGGAAAAACTGATTTGAAGAAAAAAATGATTAAAATAGGCCTTTTGCAAATGGGAAGGGAACCAAGAGTTGGAAGGAGTGGGGAGGGGGAAGGATAGGGGATTAAAAAATAGAAAAAAGAATCAAGATGTATTATGTACATGTACTAAATTCTACATAATAATTGCAAACGTCCATTAATTTAAAAAGATCCTAGTGGGCTGGGGATTTGGCTCAGTAGTTCTACCACCTGCCTCAAAAGTACAAGGTCCCGAGTTCAATCACTGGTACAAAAAAAAAAAAAAAATCCTGGTGCAACACGCAAAGAAATGTGTATTTCCTCTAGGACCCTGGCTTCTCAAAGTAGAGCCTCTGAGTGTTCATGAAGCAACAGGCTAAGCAAGCATATTTAGTTTTGTTTGAGTGTTAGAAGAAACATGGTTTTTGTTTTTTAAAAAATTCATATATTATAGAATAGAAAGCAGAACAGCAAAACTAAAATTAAAGAAAGTGAATTAAAAAGAAACTTCATGCTATGAATGGGTCTTTTCAGATCTTAGTCTTTTGATACCTCATAAACCTCCCGATTTCTTCTTGTAGTGGGAGTTCTTAGTGAAAAAGTTTAAGAAGTTCTATTAAAGGGATAATATGTTCAGCTTTGCAATTTAAAAAAGTCATTCTGGGAGCAAATAAAGGGGGATTTGAAAAGCTGTGAGTCTGCACCTAGGAGAGCTAGCTAGGTTCTTTGCAATTTCTTATCAAGAGATAGTGATGGTGCACTGATAGTGAGATGGAGGACTGGAGGGAGGAACAGACCATTAGGAAGGAGTAAAGGCACAACTGTGTGTGTGCCTCTTGGCATTATGGATGGCTATCCCAATACCGTGAAAAAGAAAAAGGTTTTGTGGCAGCAGAAAAGGGAGATGACAGATTCAACTTGTGACCACTGAGTTGAAGTGGGAATACAAGGTGAAATTGAGAATGTCTAAATTATATGGGACTCAGGAAAGGACTGGAGGCTCAGGCATGAGGCTTATCAATAGTGAGTTGAATCAGAACAACAAGGGTGGCTGGAATTGTGAGGGGATGATGAATATTAGAAATTGGACCACCAAGGATGGTCCTTGCTGAGAAAATGGTTCTGGATTTTGGGATACTTATTTTTTAAACTCTGATATGACCA